AACCTACAGCTCGGGAGCCACCAGTAGCTCGCCACCCTCTCCCAGGTAGCTCCCCAATGGATTTAGAAAGTAACTATTCAATAATGCACTGTATATTTCAGATGTTTAGTGTATTATTCGCTCGCTGACAAACATACTGTGTCCAGTAGTAACAAAAATGGGATAAACTGGTGATAGTGAAACGAAAATATCTCATTTTTCACAAGACGGCTTGAAGTAGCTCTCTGCCATTTTTGTATGGACAAAGTAGCTCTCTGGGGGAAAAGGTTGGAGACCCCTGTTGTATAGAGTTGTGTGTGTGTTTTTTTTGACTGGTATTGAAGCATTTACAGCTAGTTAAGAAACTACTTATTTTGTATATTTTGTGTGCTCCCTGTGTGCTCTTACTACTGTCCTGTCTGTGCGCGGCAACATCGAAATTTCCCCACTGTGGGACAAATAAAGGAACTCTTATCTTAAAAACGAGGAAAGAATGTTATTAGATCATTAGTTGCAACCTGCTAGCGTCAATATTAGGGTATGTGATTTTTAACCAGTTCCTTGTTTTTTCCCACAATGCAACGTGAAAATTAATACATCTCATCTCTCCAACAACAACTGTTTTTGCATGTGTTTTAACATGACATTTTCTTATTTGATATTTGCAAATCAATTTTTATTTTAATGTTTTAAATACATAATGAAGGAGACCAAAACACTGATGTTCGAAAAGTTAAATTAAGTTTGAATCATTCACAGGAAGTGTGTAAGAATTGTTTAGACCAAACTAGGCATGTGCATAAGTCTAGGAATCTAAGAATCTACTCAGATCTACTCAATAAAAGAAAAATCTACAATATTTGGTACATTCCCTTTTTGCAGAAATAACAGCCACTAAATGCTTCCCGAATTTCTAATAAGAATCTGGGTTCTGCTGAAAGGTATTTTGGACCATTCTTCTTTGCAGACCATCTCTAGTTCAGTCGGGTTTGATGCTTTCCCAGCATGGACAGTCCGTTTTAGACCAAACCATAAATCATAATAATAATTAATAATATTCAGGTCTGGGGACTGAGATGGCCAATGTACTTAGGGGTGCTGACATTAGAATGTTATTAAGTTATAATTTTAGTAAATCATATGTGGCTGAATTCTTAAATTTCTCCACTGCGAGACGAATAAAAGGTATATCTTATCTTATTATATACTGTCTGTATCGTAATCCACTGTTGACTCCAGAGTGAATGGGGAGTCGTGTGTTAACGCCAGGAGGAAGCAGGCTTTGGAACATGCTGATAAGGTTGTGTTGGCTCTGCCTGTCCTGTGCATATGAAGGTGTGTCTTGTACTTTCAAAAGGAGTTTGCCGAATGATCCGAGTTAGATCTGATTTTGGAAGCAGACTGAGTACTCTCTGCTGTGTCTCTGCTTCAAAGATCACTTCTCCTTGGAAAAGGCAACCAAGATTAAAAATGCTGAAACAGTGTCTTTTGCGTATGTGTTTTTGTCAAGCAGGACTCTTGGATAAAACGGCATTAACAGGTGCCCAACATTTTTTTGAACATCATCGTACATTCATGCGAGTAGTAGTTGTAACCCCTTGTTATCATTAAGCCGTATTGTAGGCCACCCTTTAGTTTAGAACATACTTAATAGAATCCGACATCCCGATATGATGTCATACTTTTGTAAATACTTTAATGTAGTTCAACATTTTTCTAATAAAGTTACCATGTGATCCAATATTTGTTAGTTTAATCTTTTTTGCTTAACACTTTTTATTTATCAACTCTTGAGTATCACGACGCATTTGAATGAAACATAATTACTGATCATGAACCAATCAGATCCCGGCGAGTCCGAGCTCGCGTTAAAAAGTGAAATTACCAAAACGTTTAGACAGCGAGATTTTAATCCATAGTTCCTTTTTCTTTAGTTTAAATGTCAATCTTCTGTAAAAGCTGAGGCTTGATTGCCAACATTTAAGAATCAATGGTTAAATATGTGAACGAGACCCATAAAAGTAGTGATTCTTAAAAGGTGCATGTATACAACAGATTTGGAGCCGGTCGATTCATCTTTGGACAAAGAGCTTCTGTCTCTCGCCACTGGAGGAAAAAGACCATTTACACCATAAATTGTTTGGATGTATAGAGCGTGGACATTCTTGGGACGAGTAAATTGCTGGTTCTTTATAACCACTGTCACACATTTCCTCTGGACAAAAGACAGTCTTAATACCGCAGTAGACAGCAAGTCAATAGCAGATGGGGAAAGAGCAAGAATCGAAAAGTAGAGGCCTCTTCGACTGGTTTGTGATGAAGGAATAAGTTTATTAAAGTAGCAATATGTAAGATTTTCATGTTCAGTCATCATTAAAAGGGCCCTAATCTGTCCAAAGTTATTAATAAAACCTGCTCTTTTCCAAATACTTCTTTAACTGACAACAGTAGTTCAAAGATATTAGAATTTCAAAATTAGTTTTACAGCCCCTAAATCTTGTCTTCTTTTTGATGTCCCGCCCTCCACTGTTTAACCAATCAGAAAGTCTGTGATCCGGGCGCCAGAACTCACCACGTCGAGCTAATCTCACTGGTAAAGTACCATGTGGCTGAGAAAAAAGGTCTCGTTATGATTCTCAAATCATTAACGACAAAACAAGGAATAAAACCAGGATTTCTATCTGTGTGAAAAAGGTGTTGGTTATAGATTTGTTGTTGACAAAACTCTTGTCTATTCAGCTGTTATGGTCCCAGCTGGATTCGTCTGCATATCTGGCAACCTGAGTCAGGGAGAGTGGGAGAGGCTGCAGTACCACTTTTGGCCAGAACATGTAATTTGCAATAGGGCACTATCCGGTTTCCGAAATGTGCTAAAAATAGCTCTGATGACTGCGCATGTGCGCATGTTTCGGACAAACTCTGTCCGACTTCGTTGAGTACTACTGTGTTCTCCACATACACGTGTGTATTTACTTGGGCTAAATCATTGAATCATGGTGACAACAAAACACTGCAGTTATGGTGCTTGTGGGAGCGATTTCAGATACTCTGAAAAGGATTATATGAAAGTAACATTCAACCCGTTCGTTAAACCACACCATCGGACCAGACCAGGACCAGGACCAGACCAGGACCAGACCAGGACCAGGACCAGACCAGGACCAGACCAGGAAAAGTGCAAGAGGTGGGTTCGTGCTTGTGGTCGGCAGAATTTCTCTCATGAAAATGTTAAAAAGGACTCATATTTGTTCAAAACACTTAGTCTGTGAAGCTGGACCAACTGTGGAGCATCCAGATCCAGTCCTAGCTACGTTTAGCTGGGACTGGACCTGGACCGCTGTATCAGGTCCGTCTGAGCTCTTCTGAATGGAGTTAGCACAAACTTTTTCTTTATACCATTTACCCCATCCATCCATATTAGTATTGTTTGTCCTAATCCAGAAAGTATACAATTCTCACACCTTTTTTTTAACTCTGACTATCGGAAAATAAGTACAGACGAAGCGCGTCGGGGTCCGCTTATTATACTGCTTTGTACCAACTGCACACACAAAATAAACTTCTGTCACTATTCATGCCGAAAGGTTTATTTAATGAGTGCAAAGAAAATAGTTCCCAAAGGTTTTCCCGTGGCAGGCGAGTAACAGTGAGGATGGTTCACCTACTTCAAAAAAGCGATCGCTTAATGGTGAAGACCATTACCTTTTTATCAACTCAAACTTTCTACCAGTTACAGACCACGACATTCAAGCCAACGTTTTAATTGGTCTACACTATGATCCCTGATGGTGTGATGGTGGAATTTTGCTCCTGGTTTATAATTTTTGTCTAAAGTGACAAGTGGTATTTGATTAATTTCGGCAGCGTTTGTCCGAAACATGTGGGCGGGAGTTGACAGGCGGCGGGGGCGTGTCTTAGTGACGTCATTTAGATAGTTCAATTCAATGTATTCTTTTATAGCCCTGTATCACAAGAGTAGTTATCTCTGAGGTCTTTACAAAGTTGTCGAGTCGCCAACAACAGATGAAAGAATGCAAAGATAAAATAAAAAAAGAGCCATTGGTCCATAATTGGCAGATGACCAATGTCCATAAATGTTAATAAAAAGTAAATAAATCACTGAAGCAGGATGGACCCTTCTACAAATGTACCCAACATTCCAACCAAGAACTTAAAGAATGCTTTTGTTTCTCTGGTTGAACTAAATTCTAGCAATGAAGAGTAGACATGATATTTGAAGGAAAACCCAAGAGCACAGGAAATAAACACAATCTCAAAGCATTCTTTCCCGTTTTACCTTTGATTTCAAATAAAACTGACAGCAAAAGAGTAATATTATATGAATTCCATGCAGTTGAATGTGTTTGTGTAAAGCCTTAAATCCCAACAGCAGTTGTCTCAGAGGAAATGCAATAATAACAAACACACATGAGCCATTGGTCCATAGAGAGCTGAATGACCAATGTTAATAAATATCCTTAAATGTTCTTAAATTTACATCTAAAACAGCCTTATTTCTGCGTGACGGTTTACGATATTGTCATAGGAACTGAAAAGAAATCAGCCCAAAGCGCATCAGTTTATATGATTTCACTGTTTGATTCCATTCGTCACAAAAAGTACTTTTAAAAGCGGTATTAAAATATTCTTTGCATCTGGAAAAACGTTATTACTTTAAAACATTGCAATCACATTTGTTTGCAGCCGGTCGTTTTTAAATTTGGAAAAAACAAATTGTACTCCTCCCTCTAGTGGTAGCACAGGGATAGGGCGGGCTAATCTCATTGTTTAACCTTCATACTTGTACCATCCTAAGTTTTCTACTGAAGATATGGATTTTTATTCAAAAACATTAAATGACACAGTAAATGGACTAAGCATTATTTTGAATGGCCAAAAACATTACATGATATTTTTTCTTTAACAATGCTAACTACACCTGCTCTGTAACTAAGTGTATAATTGCACAAATGACCGGAATACCCTTCATTCATTCGTTCAAAAAAAGTGGCCGTCCTTACCCGCAGTTGACCCATGCTATGGTCCCCTGGCCCTTCACCGTCTGAGCCACGCTGGACAGAAGCTTGAGCTGGGAGTCCCCCGACGTCGCTGCGAAAAGAACCAGAGACAGAAGAGCAGTCAACACCGGGACCCAAGCCCCCAGAGCGAGCCATGGGACAGGCCAGGAGGACACTGCCGAGCCTGTCAGGGCCAACACAGAGCGGCGGGGGTCGGGTTTCGGGAGAAGAAAGGGAACGTGGGGTCAGCGGTGAGACTCGGGAAGAGGAGAGTTTCCAAGACGATTCAACAAACTGTGGTTAAAGTTACGTCGAGCTTTCAACAGGTGACAATGAGGCGGAGGAGAGGGCTGGAGACAAACGGTGTGAGGAGGAGAGAGCTGGAGACAAAACTGTGTGAGGAGGTGAGGGCTGGAGACTAAACGTGTGAGGAGGTGAGGGCTGGAGACTAAACTGTGTGAGGAGGTGAGGGCTGGAGACTAAACTGTGTGAGGAGGAGAGGGCCGGAGACAAAACTGTGTGAGGAGGAGAGGGCTGGAGACAAAACTGTGTGAGGAGGAGAGGGCTGGAGACAAAACTGTGTGAGGAGGAGAGAGCTGGGAGACAAAACTGTGTGAGGAGGAGAGGGCTGGAGACAAAACTGTGTGAGGAGGAGAGGGCTGGAGACAAAACTGTGTGAGGAGGAGAGGGCTGGAGACAAAACTGTGTGAGGAGGAGAGAGCTGGAGACAAAACTGTGTGAGGAGGAGAGGGCTGGAGACAAAACTGTGTGAGGAGGAGAGGGCTGGAGACAAAACAGTGTGAGGAGGAGAGAGCTGGAGACAAAACTGTGTGAGGAGGAGAGAGCTGGGACCAGAGGGAGGTTAGAAGCAGAAGTTGCAAGGACTATCATGGATGTTATAGTCATTGCAACGATTATTTTTGAGAGTTTCAATTAGTTCGGTATGGACTCACTCACACACTTCAAAACTCATCTGTTCAGACAAGCCTATTCACTAACACCATAACAACACAACTCTCTGCTCAGGCTGCTTTAAACTTTGAATTTTAACCATATTTAAAAGTACATTTCACTTAGAATCTAGAAGAGGCGCATAAGCAAAAAAGTATGGTTATTATTATTGATTAGTTTAATTCAATTTATTTTTGTCTAGTCTTGAATCAGAACAGCAGTCAGACTTTGGCCGTCAGACTGTACAACAGACCTGGATGCGTTAAAAGATGTACTATTGTTCGGTAGTTAGTTAGAAATGTTCATATTTATGTACTTTTGTGTTTACATGGATGTGTTTTCTGCGGCTGGACACCTGAATTTCTGTAACGGGGATCAATAAAGTGTCTATTTATTGAAGACTTATGTTCTAGTTTTGTCAGACTGATTAGTATTTTGTCTTTCTCCCCCATTTCTTGTGTATATTAATTTTAAAGTTCTTCCCATTATCTGTACAAAATAGTACAAAAAATCCTTTTTCTCTCCGCTATTGTCCCCATGTGTTAAAAAAAAGACATACAAAAGTGTATTCTTGAGCAAGGCACGTCATCTACTGTATTATATTTCTAAATTGAATTGTGTTTTTAATTAGCTTTTTATTTTTAGGCTTGCCCACGGGACTACCGATGAAAATTACATTAATTTAACTCGGGCAAATTTACATTGTATAAAGTTGATTAAAGTGCAATGTCCCGTTTCAAATAAATAAATAAGAGAAACACAATATGTTTCGGGCATTTCTTATTGTCTTTCTCAACATTTGCAGCGCAACCAACGCATCTGAATATAACATCATGCGGTTTTTTCGGCTGTGATTAAAGAATATTTCGTCAGTGAGACCGTTTCTGACCACAGACGTTTGCACAATCTCCTCCGTACAACTTTGCACTTTGCTTTGAGTCAGAGAAGTAGGAGTGTGTCATGAACCGAGCCAACTATAATAACCTGTCTGCAATATTAGGACCTCCTCATCAGATGTGGCAAGAGGCGAGAACTCCTCCGAGAGGCGAGAACTCCTCCGAGAGGTGAGTCAACAAAGGAGTCCGAGAGTAATTAATGGTTGGACAGAGATCGTTTCGACACTACTGTACCCCCCTCAAAAACCAAATGTGTTTTTGGCCGAGAAACTTCAGCTGTCTGCAATGCCTCACTCAGAGTTATTTTTAGACCAGAGGGCAGAGACTTGGCTCCCCAAAGTGCAGGCCGTGTCAAAACATCTGGAAATCTACAGCTATCCAAAGCAGGTCTAAGTCCAGCTCTAAAACTGGACAAAAAATATAAAAAAGACGAAAGTACGGATTCACTGATCCCGCTTTTTATGTATATGTAGATTTTAATGTTGATGATTTATGCTTGATGTGATGTGGGTTTTGAGATGCACTTTGTGATACACTTTGTGTTGTCGTGTGTAGGAAAGGTGCTCTACAAATAACAGTTGATAGATTTTGATTATTTGGCTTCCAAAATCTGAAGGGGAGCGTATATGAACCACTATGTTCTTTCCTTAAATCACAGTTAACCAAATAAGTCTATGTGCTTTTTTTAACCACTGTTAATCCAGCGAGCAACACCAAGACTTTAAAGTAGCAATATGTTCCTCATTGATGGATGAAAAAAGGTCTGGAGGTGGTGGTCTAGAGGTGGTGGTCTGGAGGTCGTGTTACAGTGCTTTACCCACAGTGGCCCAGGTTTGTCAAAGTGTGGTGGGTGAAACTATATACTATGTTCAATGAGAGAATGCTCAAGAACGATAAAACGTAAAAAAAGCAAAACGTATTTTGCAGATTAAAGCCTAATCTTTCATTTGGCCCTTGGTGTTTATATAGTTAAATGAATATTCTGTGGCTCTTCAAAGTTAAGAAAAAGATTTGGTAGTCATTGAATTCATAATAATATCACTATTAAACATAAATGCTAGACCAGGGGTGGCCAACCAGTCAGAGACCAAGAGCCAATTTTTTTTTACTGTGTTACAGCAAAGAGCCGCATCATACAAATATGCAATACATAAACATCACCCCAACCCTTACACACGCGCGCGCACACCTCTGCTCAGACAGATTTATTGTAAATGTCATCAACATGATAATGACAGAAATTGACTCGTACAGTACTAAATGGCTGGACGGTTTGCGGGCGCTTCCACCGCTCGCTTCAACCGCTCCCCGGTACTTTTTATTAATGCTTTGGCCCTGGTTCTAACCGGGCGAGTCGATACCAGAACAATCTCACGTCAGCGAACATCAATTATGATTCCGAAATGAAAAAAGCAAGTTTCAAACCAGTGTTCAGCAGAAACACAACTGTCTTTATCGAACCATGATTCACTCTGACTGAGTTTAGCAAAATATATAGATGTGACACATATCACCAACACCACTTTAGATGATTTAGAACCACAGACACATGTTCAGTGTAAGACCAGATACTTTCGCATTTGATTGAAGACAGACACTCACCAGGCAGAATTGGCTTATCTCCTGGTGTAGCTGGTGCTAGCTGGTTTTAGCATGTTAGCCGGTGTTAGCTGGTGTTAGCCGATGTCCGTAAATTTTATCCATTTGGTCAAACCACCTCCAGACTTTTCGGTTCTGCCTCTACTTCTGCTGCTGTGATCTTTCATGTTCGTGGGAATCATTCTGCTCCGTCCTTAGCGCTAGCTCCACAAACACCTTCTGGTTTCTGGTGGAACCATCGAGCTCACGCTGGTGTCCTCTCCTCAAACTGAGGAAGGTGTTGCCCTCATCCAGCGACCGAGGAACTGTTTCCCGTACAGACGTCATGGGTCGAGGCAACGTGTTGTTTGTTATGATATTTGCAACAGCTGAGGCAGCAGCTGCAGAGTGACTGACAGCGCATCTGACCAATCAGAATTGACGTTCGCCGACGTCAGATTGTTTTGGCGGCCCCGCTAGTGGAGTGAAGTCGGCCTTTACTATGGGTCAGAACTACTTAGAGAATCAATGGCAGCACCACCACCGAGGCGTTTTTGACGCTTGTCGTGTGAAAGCCCAAGAGCCGCACGGAACCAGCCAAAGAGCCGCATGTGGCTCACGAGCCGCGGGTTGGCCACTCCTGTGCTAGATCGTCTTTTTGTTTAGAATTAAGAAATCTTAAATGTAAAAACAAAATCACTTGATGAGACGAGATTCTTGGTAATGAAACCAGATGAACAAACATGGACCCACGATAAGAACCTTATCCCACAGCAAGGAAATTACAATGTTGCAGCGCACATACAGGACTAGTGCACACAAAATATACAAGTAGCTTCTATGCTTCTTAACTAACTGTAAATGTGTCATAAGACAACAAGAAAATATCAATACGTCTATAAAAATATCTCTAAACAATTGTCACCATTATTATACATTCATAATACATAACATAATTTGGATTATTTTCATTGGTCACCGAGTCACGGTTAATCAAATTATTGTATAAAAATAAGTTTGTCTGCTATTAAACATGGAGAGTCTGTAACAAACTTCCCAAAACTACAAATCTGATCCCCTTAGGCAGAGACCGAGCGACTTGAAGGCATTTCAAACCATTCAGAATTGAACTTTGTAATGATTTCTCTGCACACAATACATTCGAGAACACCTTTCGCCAAAACCTCCCATTAACAAAATGACATTACCAAATTCTGGAGCCAAAAGAAAAGCTCTCAAATCAATTGGATCTGATGAATCGGACGTGCCGTGGGCTGCGGGGCGGTGATGATATTCAGATGAGAGGCAGCGGAGAGGGAGAAGGGCAAAGGAGGCAACATTAGCAGGAGACTGAAGCACGGAGCAGAAGATGATCAATCGGAGAGAGCCCTGATCCAATGAGCTAATGCGGCTGAAATGGGCCATGAATTATCAAACGTATGAGTGTCCGTGAGCTCCTGACACTGCTGCTGATCTGAGGAGCAGGAGGAGGAGGAGGAGGAGGGGGGAGCAGGAGGAGGGGAGCAGCAGGGGAGCAGGAGCAGAGGAGCAAGAGGAGGGGGAGAGGAGGGAAGCAGGAGGGGGGGAGCAGGAGGAGGGGAGTAGGAGGAAGAGGGGAGTAGGAGGAGGGGAGCAAGAGGAAGAAGGGAGAAGGAATAAGAGGGGAGCAGGAGGAAGAGGAGCAGGAGGAAGAGAGGAGCAGGAATAAGAGGGGAGCAGGAGGAAGAGAGGAGCAGGAGAAAGAAGGGAGCAGGAGGAAGAGGGGAGCAGGAGGAAGAGGGGAGCAGGAGGAAGAGGGGAGCAGGAGGAAGAGGGGAGCAGGAGGAAGAGGGGAGCAGGAGGAAGAGGGGAGCAGGAGGAAGAGGGGAGCAGGAGGAGAGCAGGAGGAGAGCAGGAGGAGGAGAGCAGGAGGAGGAGAGCAGGAGGAGGAGAGCAGGAGGAGGAGAGCAGGAGGAGGAGGAGAGCAGGAGGAGAAGGGCAGGAGCAGGTCCCAGAAACAGAGATAGATAGATCTTGAGACTATTTCTGAAAAGGTTTGTGTTTATAGAGTTGGAGACAGAACATTCTGGGTTTGAATCTTACTTGTGTTTTAGTTTTGTTATAGTTATGGACATTGGTCTCTGCTCTTTATGAACCAATGTCTCTGTTTGTATCGCTGTAAAGTCCTCCCAGATGACAACTGTTGTGATTTAGGGCGATACAAAAATAAATGTAATTGAATTTCATAAACACATGTCGTTCATCCCAACAGAAAGACTCTTGTCGAATAATCAGAGTTCATTAAAAAAGAGTGAAGATACAATCCTTCAGGCGTATGCGCGGCTAAACAGAGCTGGTTTTACGCGGGACTTTCAGACAAGAAGCCTGTCTCACATTTTCAGAAAGACTGTTCCAGATTTAGGCTGTATGAATCTGCACACTGCCTGCACATGTTTAGTCCTGACTCTGGGACCAGCAGGAGGCCAGTCCCTGTGCTCCTCAGAGTCCCAGCAGGAGGCTAGTCCCTGTGCTCCTCAGAGTCCCAGCAGGAGGCCAGTCCCTGTGCTCCTCAGAGTCCCAGCAGGAGGCTAGTCCCTGTGCTCCTCAGAGTCCCAGCAGGAGGCTAGTCCCTGTGCTCCTCAGAGTCCCAGCAGGAGGCCAGTCCCTGTGCTCCTCAGAGTCCCAGCAGGAGGCCAGTCCCTGTGCTCCTCAGAGTCCCAGCAGGAGGCCAGTCCCTGTGCTCCTCAGAGTCCCAGTTGGTTCATATATCACTAACATGTCTCAGATACAATAGAATAGAAGCACTAGTAAACAGCCTCATGTGGAAAAACTGGTCCTAAAATTGCAGCTACATATTTTTCTGTCAATCTCCTGCGATCTTTATAAATCCATATAAAGCAGGTGTCTCCAACCTTTTTCACCCAGAGAGCTACTTTCCCGGGACGATAAAGGCAGAGAGCCATTTCTTTAATGCCGCCCTGGGGAAAAATGTGGTGATATATTGACGTGATCGAGCCTGATATTGGGTTCAATCATTATTTATCATCACATATTTGTTACTAGTGACAAAGTGAGTGCATTTACAAAAATATTAACTGAAATATTAAGTTTATTATTGTATTTGTTCGTTCCTAATTCGTTTGGTGAGCGACTGTTGGCTCCCGTGCAATAGGTTGGAGATGTCTGATCTAAAAGACATCGGCAGAACACCTGAACTTGGCCTGTACTACAGCCATCACTTGCTAAAACCTTTATTCTCAACAAAATGAAAGCGGTCACTTCACTTTCGTTTGCTTACAGAAATCTCACCTTTGACACCAGGCCCTATAGGAACGTTCGGCGCTCACAAACTACACATAATCAAAACCTTTTCGCATTTTTCCCTGTTTTAAAAGATGTCGCTTCAATTTGCAAATGCATGACCAGATAAAGTCCGAGGTTTTGAGAAGAAGCACTTTACAGCTTAGTCAATAGCTTTTTATACCAGCAGTAAATTCACCAGAGGCTCATTCGCCAACTCTTGTTCATAGAAAATTTATATGGGTCATGACACACTTATTTGGCCAATATTTCTCCACTGCCTCTGCACCAGGTCAGGTCCGTCTCCCGGGAATAGAACAAATTGCTAGCACTAAAGAAATCCACCGTTATCGTAGTATTAAAACTGACTGAAGCATGTGGAATCCACTGCTGCTATTTCTGCTTCTTTATATCAGAGAATATGAGAAGTGAAGGTTGCTCTGCCCATGACAATCTGCCATTTTTAGATAACTATTTTAAAAGTTATCGTTGTTGCAGTCGTCATATAGCCTTGCAGGTCGAAACAAGACCTAAACAAGGACTAAACAGGGACTAAACAGGGACTAAACAGGGACTAAACAGGGACTAAACAGGGACTAAACAGGGACTAAACAGGGACTAAACAGGGACTAAACAGGGACTAAACAGGGAATAAACAGGGACTAAACAGGGACTAAACAGGGACTAAACAGGGACTAAACAGGGACTAAACAGGGACTAAACAGGGACTAAACAGGGAATAAACAGGGAATAAACAGGGAATAAACAGGGAATAAACAGGGAATAAACAGGGGCTAAACAGGGGCTAAACAGGGGCTAAACAAGGGCTGAACAAGGGATAAACAAGACCTAAACAAGGACTAAACAGGGACTAAACAGGGACTAAACAGGGAATAAACAGGGAATAAACAGGGAATAAACAGGGAATAAACAGGGAATAAACAGGGAATAAACAGGGGCTAAACAGGGGCTAAACAGGGGCTAAACAAGGGCTGAACAAGGGATAAACAAGACCTAAACAAGGACTAAACAGGGACTAAACAGGGGCTAAACAAGGGCTAAACAAGGGCTAAACAAGGCCTAAACAAGGGATAAACAAGGGATAAACAAGGGCTAAACAAGGGCTGAACAAGGGCTAAACAAGGGCTAAACAAGGGCTAAACAAGGGCTAAACAAGGCCTAAACAAGATCTAAACAAGGCCTAAACAAGGGCTAAACAAGGGCTAAACAAGGCCTAAACAAGATCTAAACAAGGCCTAAACAAGGGCTAAACTAGACCTAAACAAGGGCTAAACAAGACCTAAACAAGGGCCAAACCAAAGCTAACATGTTTGAAATCCATGTTATGGTTTAGAGAATATTTCCGTTTTTGTTATAGTTTTAAAGACAATATAATAAAAGCTTTAGTTACTCCTTTCTCGGGTTGCAAAAATATGGGAATTTACAGGAATAAACTTAAATATGGTTGAGGAAGATCTTAGTGACCAGGCCTTAGCCATCCGTAAACTCTGGTCAATTATCAATTCCAGCATGTACCGTCTGGGTCTCGTCCCCGTGTCTCTCACCTGTTAACAAAGCTCAATGGAGAAAAAACAGACTTTAGTATGAAATATAATTTTCTACTAAAAATGGTGCGGTAAGACCAGGCTAACATTTTAGAATAATCTTACACTAGAATAACACGAGAATTCCCAGGTCATTCCTCAATCACAGGCACAAAGCACACTTGTTACTGCAGGGCTACTGAGACCACGCCCCCTGCTGGCCCCTGCATGTCTCTGTCACATGTGCAGAAGATTGACACTTTTGAGCCCTAAACACAAGAATATTGAAGACACAATTGAGCCTGGGGACTGAGCGTTGTGATGATAATATGGGGGAAAATATTGATTAAAAATGTTTTCTTATGAAAGTGTGTGAAAATGGAGCAGATGGCCGCAGAAGTTGGCGCTTTAAAGCAAATAATGAACTCACAAGTCAGCATTACTAGTGATCTGCGCATTGCTGCGAGCGGGATCTGCAACCGGGTGTGCTCCCTGGAGAGGGAGCGCAATGAGCGGGCCTGGCCCGCTAACGTGGATGTAGCAGCTGTCACGACGCAAGCTATGCCTCTTGTGTCTGCTGTGAAAGAGGTCCTGACCCATGGGGAGAAAAGTGCAGCGGAGACAGCGACTCCGACAGTACCGGCTCCGGAGGTGTATGCAGGGACCGCTGCGGAGAGGAGTTTACGGGGGCAGCAGTCGCCAAAGTGGAGTGAGGTTGTGAAGAGGAGCCGGCGCGCAACAACCGATGAAGCTAATGCAGTACGCACGGGACAGGGGAGGAAGCCACGGGCCACTAAGCCTATCGTTGGCACTGGGACTGTGGGCAGCATCCGAACCATACAGACCAAACTGGTGAGTGTGTTTGCTTCTCGATTTTCACCTGATCTGGAGGATGTAACATTAGCGGAATACTTAAAGAACAAACTCAACCGGGATGTATCATGCCAAAAGATCACCACGGCGCACAATCGATTCAGTTCATTTAAAATATCTGCGGAGTGTAATGACGTAAATGAGATGTATGACCCTGATCTGTGGCCAGAGGGTGCACTCGTTCGGCGGTACTATATAAGCCGCGTCGTGTGGGGTACAACAGGGGTGAGCTAGGCGCAGGTGACCCTGTGGGCAGTGCGCGCAATGGCACCGCTGTGGTACCCTAAAATGCAGCTATGGATTTACGTGTCTTCTGACTTATAACTGTCGGGGCCTACGGCTTGGAAACAGTGCTGCGGATAAAGCTCGTCGCTTGGTTGTCGATGGACTTTTGCAAAATTGCGACATACTGTGTTTGCAAGAGACTTTTTTATCTCAACAAGACTTGCAAAAGCTGAACTCGTTTAATGAGTATTTTCATGGGGCTGGTGAGTCCACTACTGATTTTAACAGGAGTATTGTCATGGGTAGAATAGCAGGGGGTGTGGCAATACTCTGGAGAAAGTCTCTTGATACATGCGTTAAAGTTGTCAGACTTGGAGTTGACTGGTGTATTGGTCTACATTTTACTTGTGATGATAAAGAATTTATAATAGTTAATGTCTACACTCCGTATGAGTGCAAACAAAATGAAGATGTATATTTAGATAAGCTGGCCTTTTTGCATGCGTTTGTTGAAGACAGCCCTGTATCTAGTGTTTACATTGTAGGAGACATGAATGCAGACATTGCAGACATTACTTCCTTATTTGGTAAACATTTGCTACAATTCTGTGAGGATCATGACTATATTCTATCTAGCAGATGTTTACTTCCTATAAAGAGCTACACATATATTAGTGAGGCTTGGCATACAACCTCATGGTTGGACCACTGTATAAGTACAGCTGATGCACATGTCTCCCTGGCATCTATGCAAATACTTTACAGTGTTGTTACTGGAGATCATATTCCTATCTCTTTTAATATACACGTTGACCAGTTACCAGGACTGACAACACACAATGGCCCAGTTAAGCAGGGGAGGCTGGACTGGACAGCTTGTACACAGGAAGACCTCCTGTCCTATTTTACTAGATCTGACAAACTTTTAAGCAGTATACATGTTCCACACAATGCTATTAGATGTACTGACACTAATTGTGTTGAAGTGGACCATAAAATGGATATCTGTAGTTTTTATGATAATATTATCAGTGTTTTGTCTAAAAGTAGTGAATGTTTTTATAAAAAAGTTCAACATAATCACAAAAAGCGACCAGGCTGGAATATGTATGTAGCTGGGTATTACGAGGAAGCACGGGAAGCTACAAGAGAATGGACTGTAGCAGGGAGACCGAGACATGGCACTATTTTTGAGAATAAAAAGATTACCAATGCCAGATACAAATATGCTATTCGATTTATCTCAAGAAATGAACAAAGTATGAGGTCAGATTCATTGGCCAGTAAACTTACATCCAGCAATATTATGGATTTTTGGAAAGAGGTGCGAAATCTCAACAGTAGTAAAACATCTCTACCTTGCACTGTAGATGGTATCTCTGGCTCAGAAAACATAGTTGGATGCTGGAAACGACATTATTATAATCTGTTCAATTGTGTCCACAGTGATATGTTTAATGCTGGCACAATTGACCAAAGTGAATATGTACCCATAAGTGCCCATGAGGTGTATCAAGCAATTCAAAAGTTACCGGCTAATAAGTCCTGTGGTGCTGATAACATTTATGCTGAGCACCTGATACATGCCAGCAAAAGACTTTGTCCTCTGCTGGCCATTTGCTTCTCTAGCTGTTTGACACATGGAATTCTCCCAGACTCACTTCTCTCTGTCACGCTTGTCCCAGTCTTAAAGGATAAAGCTGGTAGAATGGGTAGTTTGGACAATTATAGACCAATCGCACTGGCAAGCATATTGTCTAAAGTCTTGGAGAAAATACTGTTATCTCGATTACAAGATTATATCTGCTCCACAGACAACCAGTTTGGCTTTAAATCTAAACATGGTACAGATTTATGCATATTTGCTCTCAAGGAAATGATAAGAAAATATAAAAGTCAAACATCATCTGTTCTTCTGTGTTTTATCGATGCATCTAAAGCATTTGATCGGGTAAATCACTGGAAATTATTCTCAAAGCTGGACGAGAGAGGGGTGCCTCGTTATATTGTGAGAGTTTTAGTATACTGGTATGCCCATCAGGTAATGCAGGTGAGATGGGGTAGATCCATGTCGGATCCATTCTCTGTTAGTAATGGTGTCCGGCAGGGAGGAATTCTCTCTCCTGTTTTATTCTCCCTGTATATGAATGATCTGTCCTTAGAGTTAAGTGCATGTAAAACGGGCTGTATGATTGGGCCAATCCAGGTGAATCATCTGTTGTATGCGGATGACCTTGCTGTATTCAGCCCTAGTAGTGCAGGTCTACAGGACCTTCTCAATGTCTGCTCTAAGTATGGTGTAGAGTATGATGTAAGGTATAATGCAAGCAAAAGTATGATAATGTTATGTAGAACTAAAGATGATGTAAATGTAAACTTTCCCCAATTTAAATTGTGTGGTGTTGAACTAAGTGTATGTTCCAAATATAAATACTTGGGCCATTTTATTTGTGATGATCTGTCTGATGATGAGGACATTCTCAGGCAATGTCGTATGTTGTACGTTCAGGCGAACATGCTGGTGCGCAAGTTTGGTGCCTGTACAGCGCAGGTGAAAAAGACACTTTTTAAAGCATACTGTACGTCATTATACACGGCACATTTATGGACCAAATACAAAAAAGCAACCATCCGCAAACTCAATGTGGCATACAATGACTGTCTGAGGATTTTATTGAAAAAGCCACGATGGGAAAGTGCAAGTACTTTGTTTGTGTCAGCTGGAATAAGGACATTCCAGGCCGCCATGCGATGTTTGATGTACAGTTTTATTTGTCGGCTCAATGAAAGCCAGAATTGTATTGTCATAAGCCTGACAAATGTCAAATTCAGTGCCATGCGGTACCAGTCAGATCTGTGGAGACACTGGTACAGCTGTTTGCTCTGAGAAGTGAGGCTTATTGTTGTGATTACATGTGTTGTTTTGTGTTTTTATGTGATGTGTGTTATGTGTTATGTGTCTTATCCTGGACCCTGAGTCTGTAATAAAGTTTGATATGATATGATAAAGTCCTTTGATTCTTTACAATCAGAGACCTACTTTTATACAACAGAAGAGGCAGAGAGCCATTTCTTTTTGCAGTGATAATAAAAATCTATATTATAATTATGACAAGAGAGAACACAAATGGAGAGCACATGTAAAATATACTGTAATTTGTCATAATGTAAAAATACATAATTTTTACATTATGAAACATTTCCCAATTTCCCCAGCTTAACGTCCCTTGAAAATTTGTTGGAAACTTTCTGGAAATATCCCGCCTCTTCGCAACCCCACTCCTCTCACACTCCGGCTTAGAAACATTCGTGACCATAATGCACAGATGGGTGACGGGATCTCTGACCTGATTTGGTGTAGAGCACGAGAACGTTGGTCCTGGTCCGTAGCAGTTTCTTGAAGTCTTTGTGGTCGTTGACTTTTTCGATGAGAGGAGAAACTTTCAGCGCATCCAGCACCGGCAGCAGCCACACCTGAGGGACACAAACAAACGCTACTGATTAAGACGAAGTATTGACTTTGGTGGAAGCGGATTGGGTCGAAACATAGGCAGAGAACACCTGGGTGACTAAAGAGTACAGCCAAGTCTATAGGTGCAGAAATGGCCGAAAGAACCCTTATTAGAAAAGCAGAATTAATGATCTAAGTATTACACTATTCTATAATAATTAAATGACCTTATACTGTATGGCTAGATGGGGAGCGGGATAAACCAGAGCTCATGCCCCAATTCTACAGGCCAACTGATATTTGGTCACTCACAACCCATTAAAAACTCACTTTCAGTTTGCCTTTCCATAATTTTGTTCTTCAATGTTTATTCTTATGTGTTTTGTAAAGAGCCATGAGTGTACAAAAAAGGGCTATATAAGTTTGACATATTATTTGACCCGCCTGGACACCAACAAGCAAAAAAGAGCAGGTGATTTTAAACCAGGAAAAAAAATCGTTCATACAGACAGACATAGCTCCTTCAGGGCAGATCTGAACACAGACCAGACCACAACTTGCTTTTTGTAGACAAGACTAGGGCTGGGCAGGCAATATGGAAAAGAAAAATAATCTTTATAAATAATTAATTAAACATATTGCCTGTCTATATGTGGCAAAAGGGAAATAGAGCCAATATCGTGCAAATGTGAAACAGCTTATCGCCAAAATAACTTTTGCGTTATCATCTCCTACGATAATTATCGCCCACCCATAGACAAGACACACCTTCATCGGAATGGAACAATGAGACAATTAACATGTAAATTAACCCTCCTTTGTTTAGGTGTAAAGTACAAGGCCCATGCTTCCTCTTGGCAAAAGAAATTAACAAACAAAACCCCCTTCGTCTAGATGATTCAATAAAATAACTTTAACAACGTTCTAATGTCAAGGGACGAACCAAAAACAAAGCCCAAAAGAGCAGTAGTGATTTATCTATTGATTTAGTTGAACAAGGACAATGCACCAGGGGCCTATCAAACTGTGCAACTCGAATAAAGTATCGAAAAGGCAGGCGTCGTATATAGGGCTAACTATGGACCAGGAGCAAGGAGGACTCATGGTGAATGCCGAGCCAGACCAGGTGGAGCCCGTCTCACAGTTTCAGGGAGATTTTAGCTGCATAGATTAGAACCACTGCCTCCCCAACTCTACCTGTGCGTGACTTTAATGCAGGAAAACAGAGAGAGGGCGACACAGTGGAGCAGTGGTTAGCGCTTGTGACTCACAGCAAGAGGGTCAATGGGTTCGATTCAACCTCCAGGTGTTTATGTGTGGAGTTTGCATGTTCTGCCCGTGTCTGTGTGTCTGCCCATGGCTACAATACGGAGAGGTGTGTTCATAAATAACATGCACTCTTTACTTCACCACTACCTCTGACGTATAGCTGCATTTTGTTAGCATTTTCACCGCTAGCTAGTCTAAATGCATACAGACAGAAAAAAAAAGCCAGAGTACGAACGGCTTGATAAATTGAGCAAAGCTGTTGAAAATAAAAAGTGATTATAGCTGAGGGAAGTGGGGCGTATTGGGTCCATCCTAATCGTCCTTGTGCCTTCAGTGTTGATTAAAAAGCTCTTCGTTTCTGCTTACGGCTGACTAAATGAGACAGCGAGAGGGGCTGTGCTCTCTCAGCGCATCCCTGTGATGAGTGATACCTCCGCCATGAAAACAAGCACCTGTCCAAGTCATTTAACACCATTAGGTCCCAGCCGAGCCATTCTCACACACAACTGTAATCAACAAGTTCAAAAGGTGCAGGGGGGAACTTTTCTGGAGTGGCCTGAAGTGTTACAGATGGGTTATTGGTCGTGAAGGTGTTCAGTATCGTGATATTTTGCTAAAGCAATTGAATCGATACAGTAGGAGAGTATCACGATATTTAATTGTCCGTTTAATTTGTGATTTCTGTGAGTTTATTCTGGTAATTCACACTGAGGTTTATGTTCCTCTGTGATGTCTGCCTGTTGTGACTCTACGATGTCTTCTTTACCTAAAAATTGGGGCTGTCAAAATGATTGCGTTAAGGCACGTTATTTACATTTTTCATTAATCGCATTTAAAAAAAAAAATAACGCATTGACGCATGTCCGAATGACCCGCCCATGTATCCCATAATATCACTCAGAATGCCGCGGACACAGGCGTGTGTGAGATGGTAACAGCAGTTCTCAGTTTGCAGTATGAACTGAAGTCTGCATCCTCCGTGGCTGCAGCGTTCTGACCCGGGGCAGCTGCGGCCACTCTGGACAGAGGTAACGTGGTCATAATACCACGTTACCTCTGTCACGCCAATACACGCCACAGGACTAGCCTCTGCATGTTGGGTGCGTGTCTTTGCGTAACCTGTGTGTAACCTGTGCACGCAATAAATACACCACTGAAGCTGAACTATGGAGCCTCAGGAAGTGTCCTCCTCCAGAAACACAACTAAACTCGCTAAACTAAAGCTGGGGTATGTAAATTGTCCCTTTCAATAACAGCTCATGTTGGTTGGGCCCAAAAGTAAAAGGTTGTGAGCAAATCAAACAGATTTAAGTACATTTGGTATGAATGACAATGAGTCATTAATAATCTCATTTAACTTCAATTGGAGTGGATTTGAAATAAAATGTTAAAAATGCTATTAATCTTGAGTTAACTCAACATTACTATGCGATTAATCAACTAAAACATTGTAATCCTTTGACAGCCCTAATACAAATAGAATAGAGATGGAGAAATACGAAAAGTATTGTGTAGTAATGTATTAGTTGACCTAGCTTATTGTCAAAAATCCTGAAATCTTTTAAATCTGTTTATTGTAAGTTACAATAAACAAAGAGAATCTGAGACTAAACAGCAGACCCTGCAGCCTGCGTGTCCCTGTAGGCCGCTGTTTATGGGACATTGCGTTCCGGTGTGCGACTATAAACCGCAACGAGGAGAAAGACAAGACGAATCCTAGCGTCGCGTGAAGCCAGATGTTTAGGTGTAAAATATGTGCGGCGCAGTCGGGGCAGGTATGACCTCATTCAGACGAACACAGCTTCTAATGATGATTAATGGAAGACTAACGCAGCTCGTTAAGATGCGCCGCTATTGACTTTAGGAGGTGTAGTCTGCTCCGGCGCTTACACTGAGGCTAATTTAGATCACAAGTTTAGGATTATGTAGAGAAAATGCAGGGAAATGCAATAATTGTATGTACTGCTGCGGCTGTAATGAGGCATGTGATCGGTTCAGGTTGTTCATCCGAGAAAGCAGCTGACCTCGGGGCTAAATAAGACTAACTTTTTGGGTTGTTGAAAGTATTACGAATCAGATGTTTAAATCAACACCTTCGTATCTGCATCGCACAGCCTCAGTCCTGGGTCTACGCAGCCTCAGTCCTGGGTCTGCAGCCTCAGTCCTGGGTCTGCAGCCTCAGTCCTGGGTCTGCAGCCTCAGTCCTGGGTCTGCAGCCTCAGTCCTGGGTCTGCAGCCTCAGTCCTGGGTCTGCAGCCTCAGTCCTGGGTCTACAGCCTCAGTCCTGGGTCTACAGCCTCAGTCCTGGGTCTACAGCCTGGAAACCTTTCTCAATATGGGCCTTACTGAGGTTTCTTACTTTTTCCCTCTGGGTTTTTGGGTGATGACCAACAACATGTATTAACATTCATGATTACTCCAGCCTCAGTCCTGGGTCTACAAAGCTTCTTTGAGTGTCCTGAAAATCTCTGTATAAAACCGATGCATTATTGGGTCTGAGAGTCAGATACGACCATCAAAAAGAGCCATAAAAGTTCCTGACCCCAGCTTTAGACAGAAGCATCGGGACGTGTTTGTTCCAGAAGTTCCTGATCTATGTTTGGATGGAGCTCCTTAATTCCGATGCGACAGGGTTTAATCTCCTTTAATCTCACATGGCTTGGAGATCATAATGTAATAATAATTGGCTTTTCATTTGATTGCACTCAAAGTCTCAGCAGATACCGTCTTAAACTTTTCCTCGAAGTGTGATCATCCAGCCATAAATCAAACCACAGATGACGACTCTTCTTGTTGAATCATAAAACTATTTTTATCAGCTCGTCCTAATAAAACACTGTGTACTTATCTGCTCGTAGCTCGCTGCCACTTCATAATAGAGCTGTTTTTTTTGTTCTCGTCTTGGCGGATATGAAACACTTGACCTTTTCCCAAAATGTGTTACTTATCGCACTCGCCTCACATCGCACGCAAAGACGTTATTGCGCCGCTTTCTTAATATAACTGATCATATCTGCAGCAGCGAAAGGAGTACAACACCGAGAGCCGAGTGAGATACTTCACTCCGCAGAGGGTGGGGTGTGGGGATCACCCTCCACCCTCTACCTGAAGGTCCTGGGTTTGTATCCCACACGTAAAGGGGCCCTTTCTGTTATTTATCATTACATTTTTAGCTAAGACGAACAGCAGGTAATTTAAAGCATTTACAGAAAGTTTGGTTCTCCATTTTTTGATAATCCCCATCTCCCCCGGTTGATTGATCGCAGCCCCAGTTGTTAGTTCACTCGAGCGTACCCCCCCGTGTGTAGTTTTGAAGAGTATGTTGTATTCCCAAACCACAACCACACGATGGCGATCTCACAGGAGTTCCCTGGGACACCAAAGGGTCCTATTATAAAGATACGCTGGTACTTTTTCCTCTTCAGAACAAAAACAATGAACCAATATGTTTGAGATCGATGAAGAAATTCTACGAATGTCATTAAACATGGATCTAGGTGTACGTTTATGTGACAGTTCTATAGACTCATCGTTTCATAACTTATTTCACCTGTAATGCTGCGAATAAAGACACAGTTCTTGTTGGAAACTGATGGTTATTATTCGAGTATATTCGTGCACAAACAGAAAAACAATAAGTGATGAATATCTGAGACCAAACTATTCACAAGAGCAGGATGAATGCACGGTACAAGGTGCAGACGCGATAAGCTACAAGTGCAGATTCAAACAAAAGTGCAAAAGAAACCACTGT